AGATTGTGATTAATTAATTTAATATATCAACACTTCATGGAGATGGACAGTTTCTGTTAATAAAAAAGTTTGAAAACAAACAACAGTAAAGAAAAAAGCTTAGCCAATATCAGTGTCTTCAAATAAATGTGGACAGTGGTGCAGAAATAATATTATAAATGATGTTCAGCCTGATAGAATGTGCTTAGCCTGATATAAAAACCAACAAAATAGTAAATCAAGTTCAAGTGAGCACATAAAATCTTTACCCACTTACCATGTAGTCTTCTCTTTTGAATAGCGGATACCAGGCACCTTCCCCACACGTCTTACTACCATGCGCAGACGATTGTTTCCTGTCAGGACTTTTACTGCACTGCTCATGGTGATGCTCTCCAGACTTATGCCATTCACCTCGACCAGCTTATCCCCAACACACAGGCCTGCCAACTCTGTAGTGTGGAATGATGAAACCACATTCACATTCACTTGAAACTCACCAATAGCTTATACATACATACCTTGTTGTAAGATGTAATAAATCTTAAATCTCAAATGCAAATCCCAGTCCTGTGACCTCATCAGTTGTACCTGCAGAGCTGTCATCCTCCACCTTGCTGACAAAGATTCCCAGGCCATGTTCAGAGCCTCCCCGCACACTGAAGCCCAGCCTGCCATCCTCACTTTTGTCCACAGTAATTGTGTGGATGTCTTCACTGTCATCCCCACCTATGGTGCACCAAAATCAAACACAAATGGAAAGTTCCTCTGAAAATAAATTCTTCATACAAAGCACAAGTTTATTAATGGATTCTGTCAATGTTTTTGCTAATTAGCAACAGTTTTTTTTTTCAATTAATATAATATAATATAAATAATATCATATCATAATATGTTCTTATGTAAGAATTTGTTTAAAAAACTAAACATTCAATTTTTTGGGGGGTGTTTTTAAAGGGATGTCAGCCAACAATTGTATGGCATTCAGCAACCCCTTCAGTTTTGTTTAAAAAGCATCACAGGATCCTGTTTGTGTCATTTCATTGTTTGATGACACTGTACTGTTATTGTCCTAGGGAAGCATGATATCACAATTTATAGATATGGATCTGGTTGATATAGTTAAGCAGATAATTTTCATGCTATGGCCGATAACAGATACTATATAGTTTATAACTATGTTTTTTTTAATCTAAGAAATAAATAAAACACTAAGAACTAAAGTTAAGCATTTTAAAATATCCAATATCAACTGATACTACTTAAATTTTTTAAGTCAAATATTATCCAATAACCAATACAGTACCATTATATTTTAATCCTTAAATGGAATAAATATACTTTAGAAACTATTACCTCAGCCCGATCTCATAAATTTTTTTTTTTTTTTGGCGAACTTGTGTGAATTTATATAATTTAATTATTTGACAAATTGCTTTGTTCCTCTTTTGTATGACTCTTTGGATAAAAGTGCCTGCTAAATGCATGCATTTAAATTTACAAAAACATATAATTAAAAAAAAAAACAACAACAAAAAAAAAAAACTAAGCCTTCATGTCCACCCCTAAACCTAAAGTGGCATAGGCAGATTGTACAAAAATGTACAAAATGAGAGAGTACAAAATTATACATATTCGCCACCAATTCGCCAAAACATAAAATAGCAATGAATTGCCATGAGAATATGTTGGTTACCTGCATCTAGATCATGTCAAGGTGCAAACTATTGTAGAAGACTCACCATCGACAGGTGCATTGATGAGGATGACCCTGCCCATAGGAGAGGAAGATCTCACTCCTCTCTGGCGCTGCTGCTTCCTGTGCAGGTAGCGTGGTAGAGTAGAAGTGCCCGAGGGCCCTGGCTGGGCACTGGGATGAGCCCCATTCGTCATGTCTTTGCGTGCCGTGTCAGACGAATGAGCCATGGCAAAGTGCCGACCTCCCCTCTAACCCTCATTCAGGGCCTGAGCTTCTAAAGGGAAGGAGGGTGGAGTGGGAAAACTAGAGGTCCAGTGGGTCAAAACCAGTCACGAGGATTACAGTGCTGCAGTGGAGCAGGAAAAAGCCGCTATGGATCCAGCATTGTTCACTTTAGATTACAAGCCATATTGTGACTTGTCTTCACAGAGTAAATCGATCCAAAGGACTCTGACATAATATAATCATTTCATGAATCAGCTGATAAATAAATTCTATTATCCAAGAAGTGGCAGAGCAATGTGTATCCTTATGTGCATTGTTCGGAAGAGAGTCTCACAAAAACAGATTATGTATAATAGTGGCTCAGGTCTTTTTGTTGAGTTGAAAGTCTGCTGGGAATGGATCATTGGGCTGGAGTCCCTCCTCACTGCCAGTGGAGCTTTGCTTGGCAGAAGTCAGTCATTGGTTCTCCCAGGCCTCAATGTCTCACCTTTACCTGCCAGTGAACCAAGACGACAGAAAAAGATCTGTGAGAACCCAGACGCGCAATGACTAATTTCCCATGGGAGGTAAAGTGATATCAGCAATTATTGCTTTCTGGAAAGCTAAGGTTTGCACTGTTTCCACAGCAAGAGATACTGAGCCAATGTGAAACACTAATGTGTAAAAATTTACTTTTTAAACTTTTGAATGCATAAAGGATGTTGCCTGTCATTTTCATATATTTGATTATTGGTTCAGAAAAAAAAAAACTGAAACTTTTTCTTAATGGATTAATCAAGAGAATTACATTAATTACTTTTATTTTCACTTTCACATTTTGTTTTGAAAAGGCATTTCCATATGACTAAAAGTGTGTTCCATCACATAGAGCATCTTTCATGTGTTACCAATACCAGTACCATTTTTTTTTAATTGCGATAATAAAGAGTCAATAGGTGTGTCCAGGTGACCAGTATGAAAATCTCTTTCCATCAGAAGAGAGCAGTACAAAATCTCCCTCAAATGGACAGAAAGTGCAGACTTTTGAACGAGATCTGCCGGTTCTGTCTACCAGAATCATAGTTACATAATCTGATAAAATTGCCAGCACATCGAAATTTCTCATGTAAACAGATAGGTTATAGTTACCAATATACATTTTATTTATTTATTTTTATTTTTTTTTACTGTATTTGTAAACACACCAATACAACTATAAAAAACGAAACGTATATAATCAAATTCTTACATTATTCCTTTACCCTTAAAGTAAGGATAGAAACAGGATCCATTTTCTTTAATAAAAAATCCACTGAATCCAATGCGCGTCATCTTGACCCCTTATGTGTTCGTCAAGGGTTTTCGGTCAGGCATTCTATAGTCAAGGAAAGAAACTGGCGTTGTCATTTCGTTAGTCTAAACATCATCAGCACCTCGGACAGCGCTCAAGCAACAGTTTGCATAAAGCGCATTGAAACACTTCAATGAACAATATAACAAGACAACATTCTCAGAGATGAAGTATTGTCTCACTTCTCCAGAATAAATTGCCTAGTTTAAATTAATCAGGGTGAGAAGATCTTAAAACTATACAAAGATCATCCTCTATGAGACATTCTCATGGCACAGATGCAGTCAACAAGTTAGTAGGAAATTACTTGCATTACCAGCAAGATTCATCCTAAATAAAAGCTAATTTACCTTATTTACTTAACCCACTTAGGCTGCTGTTAATGTGATGCATAAATGCAAGAAAAACAAAGTTCGATGAAGTGAAATGCCTTTACCTGTCTCCATGTTGTGCCCCATGACCTCACCTGAGGCAAAGACAATATTAGCCTCCTTTAAGCCCGCCTCTCAATGCATGTGATTGGATTATGTGGAGCAGCTCAGAAGGACACACTGCACAAACTCATTTGGTCCAGTGGTTGACAATCGTCACTCATAGCATAAGAGTATTATATGAACAAGTGGTCTTGTGGAACAAGTACAGATCCAATTAAGTCTCACGTTGGTCTGCAGGTAAGCGCCCGTTGCCATCAAACACTAAATGAAGCGCATTTCAACAAGCTTCTCTTCTCATTTGTGGTTAAATTATCTATCAGGATTAAATGGTTGCAATTAGAAGTGTTTGAGAATTTATTTTGATCAAATGGTGAATGTGAATTCGTCTTCAATTGATCCCCTTTGGAGCGTCAAGGAGATCGGAACATCTTTCATAACACTATACTGCCATGTAGTGGTCATTCAACGACATTTCTTTTCTGTGAATTTGGTTTTTGAGTGTACTAAAATTGTATTGCAGTGTAAACCGAATTCGCCACTGAAAATTTATAATTAACAACCTATAATGTATCTATCGTACATGTAAATTTCTGCTTTAGACATCTTTTTCACCATATTCATATTCATTTATTAGTAATGCAAACAAGACCAACAATCGTTTTCGTTTGTAACATCCCAAACTGCAGCTTGATATTTAATTTGGCTCATCTACAAAGGCCAAAAGTGCTGCATGTAAGCGTTTATTTTGATACTATAGGTAGGCCTACATATTTGATACCATATGACTGAAATAGGTGAAATGGGTGTTTTTCACAGATTAAACCTGTCTGTGGTAATCATATGTTTTGTAAATATATTTAAAAAGAGAGTTAGCAGAGCGGCCCGCACTTGTTTAGCCCATCAGAAACGTTCTTTGCCAGTCACTCATTTTCTGGAGGGCGGGATTTTGGAGCAAGTTTAGGCTACAGTAAATCGGTGGATATCTGGCTGAAGTTTTGCAAAATTGCTGATATCGGCTTAGAACACCTTTAATACTTTTTCAAAAAGCTAAAAATCCCCATTAGCGCAACTCAGCGCCTGTGGAGGTAAGCGCTACCAAAGAGTATAGTATAGAAGTCACTATAACTTCTTTGGCGGCTGGCGCTACTAATGACCTATCTGAGGAGAATCACGAATCAAATAGCCAATCATAATGCAGCTCTCATCCAGGCCACGCCTTCAGAACCAACCACCAATCACAGCGCAGCTCTCGTCCACGCCCAGTCTCATGAGACAACTGTAGATCTATGTACTCTAAACGCCGCCTTTTCACACAAAAAGTGCCCGTTCAGCATTTCAACCATCTTCACGCAGATTTTCAAAGCAAGACCGGAAGTGCGTTCAATCCTGTCATCACGCAGAGGAAAGCAGTCAGCACTGAGGTCATCTGCTTCAAGGTGTACCTGAACGCTAACGTTATCAGTGGTGTTTTAGCAAGGTCTGTGTCAGATATTTTACTGAATGACTCTTCAAACAAAAATGCACGTTTGTCTGTTTTGATATGGTTGTTGTGTTCATGTATGTGAGATTACGTTGAAGCTAGCTAACGGTATTTTAGCCCGTTGAAGGGGATTTGAGTTTGCTTGTAATTAAATTGCATACTTTATAAGTGAAAATAGCACATACAACTCAGCTTAACAAGGTGACAGCTTCGGTCAAATGAAATTAAATTCATGTCATAGAAATGTCGGTATTTTGCATGTCCTTGTCAGTTTACATCCCACCAGCAGAGCAGTTAGCATTAGCTAAAATAGCAGTAAATATGCGGTTTATATCGCTCGCCATGGTAAATAAACCATTTTATTTTGTTAATAAACAGTTCAGTTACATACTGTCTGCAGTAAACAGCTGTGCAAGTACAACAGCCTCAGTGTCCGGCTAGTCCTTCCTCTTTTGATATGCATTGCTAATCTCACATGTTCATCTGTCAGGCATTATTGTTTACAGGCGTGCATGGCAATAAGCGAATTAATATGCATGAACATAAAGAAAGAGGGTCCGTCCTTTTTATTAGTAAATATGGTTTAAGAGCTGTTACTTTTAATGATCCCAGCCATTAATTTTCTTAGTTTTACTTTCACCTTTGAAACCATTTCAACTGTCACCTACAGCTATGTTGGCATAGCTGCAGTTCAACATTCTTCATGACAGAGATGTTCTGAGAGATGATTTGTTTTTAAGTCTACCGATTACCTTGTTCCCACAAATCAGGTTTGAACAGCTACTAAACCATCTTATGTTTCTCAGTCTCGCTATAACCCAGACTTATTTATGATCTTCACAGAAATCGAATAGGATGTCTGGAGATTTGCCTCTGAATATCAACATTAAAGAACCACGATGGGACCAGGGCACGTTTATGGGCCGAGCTCAGCACTTCTTCATGGTGACAGACCCCAGAAACGTGCTGCTGTCCAGTGAGGTTTTAGAGGATGCCAGAGTTACTGTGGAGAACTACAGGTCTGTGATCTCTCTGGCCTGTTTTTAATGCTGTATCTGTGAACTTTAGGGGTGAAATCCTGTACTTTTAATATAATATAGAAACTGTAGCCATACCAATCACAGCATTACTGGAAAAGGTTTTAGAGTGCAAAATGTAGAATGTTTGTTTTCCTTTCTAAACTGACTCGAGTCTTAAAACACTGTGGCATGGATATGTTGTTTGAAACTAGGCCCTGCTAGTCACATCTGTGCAGCCTCATGTTTGCAAGATTAGCAGCAAGATTTCACGGTGTTGAAAGAGAAGCTATGGTGAAATGGAAATCTGTTCAGAGTCTTTTATATAATGAACAACTAGCAAACTTTTGAACTGTGGTATGAGAGTATTTTTTATCATAGAGCAAAACGATTCATATTTAAATATGAATTCTGCGTGTCTCTGTGTCTATGAATGGCGCAGAGGTGTGGTTTTGTTTACCACTCGTACTGAAGCGCGCTTGACGCTTGCGGTGATTTTAGCGTCTGCCGTCTCACTAAATGAGGACATAAATACATGAACAACATCTCCAAAAATAAAAGTTCGGTTTAACTTGAAGGCATTGGCAGAAATATATTACTATTGTTCAGTAGAATGTACGTAATAGGCTGCGACTACTACTACTAAAATTATTAAAACCTTATTTTTAAGGAATAATACAATATTTCTTCAATGTTTTAATTGTAATATTAAATTAAATGAATGTTTTTAGCCTTAAAAAAATGTAAATACACAACACAGAATTTCTGAGCCAAAAATCATAAGGCTATTGTAAGAATAACTGAAACTTGTTTTTATGCTTTCAGATAATTAGACATGCTAAATCAGAATTTGGTAACAATAAAAAGCAGATAACTCCACATTTCATGTTTTAGAGTTTAAAAAAACGTTTAATCTTTGTAATCTCCTCAGACAACGTTGACAAACGTTGTTGTTGTTGTGATCATAAACCGTATGGATGTGATTGCACGCAATACACAGAGCTTTTCCCTCACCATTGTAAGGCGCTGCTTTTGCAAGGTTCCGTGAAAACGTTTCAGTTTTTATTTTTATTTTTCGCCCTGAAGAAGATATCACAGGTTCATCAAGTTCGTCGAAATTATCCATCCTCGATCACTTTTAGTCAGCTTTCACAAAACTCCTCTAAGCTAGCACGTTAACAAGCCCTAGCAGTGTTGCAAACACCTTCCTGTAGACATGCACGCTAAAGTGCTAGATGAATACAGGTCACTGTTTTAATAATTCTGTATATGTATTCAATTAATTTAAACCATAAATTCAACTTAAAAACACATGCACTCACTTTATATCAATTCATATATTCAGGGTTTGAAATTAACACCCGCCAAATGCGGGTAAAAATCAGCTGTGGCGGGTAACGCTGTCAAATCACTAGCCATTTTGGCGGGTTACTTTTCGTAGATTATGTTCACTCATTAATTTCTTGGGGAAGGTTCATGCAGGCCAAATCTGCGCAGGTTTAGCGCAAATACTGAACTCGTGAGACATCATGACATTATCGAGTATATTGCAAAAGCTAA